AGCGACGGGTGCTCATTCCGTTGCGTGGATTCGATCTTACGACTGCCGGATCTTCTGACCCTGCAGCACAGGCTTCTGCGGTTTAGCCCACAGCGCCACCACGTCCCCCATCCTTGCCACGTCACCATCCTTGCCAAAATACAAACCTTCTTTTCCAGCAGTGGAGTAGAGGCAAATGTGGGCAGGGAAGGCCAGTTGCTAACCATACAAAGAAGCAGTACACCACAGATCTATCTTGCTCAGCATTATCTATGCGCAGGAAACCTTGTGATCTCATATGTTCTCCACTACCCCTTTCTACCAGCCTCAGATTGAGTCAAGGTTTGCATCTGAAATGCCAGGACAGGGCAGGGACGCCTACTCCCAACCACCCTTGACCGTCCACCTACAGAAGATCTCCAGAGGTTCAGGCCAACCCAAACCTGGCAATACCAAGGATTGCATCCAAGCCTTTCTGCTCCCAAAGCATGGCTTCTGCTTCACCAATTTTGCAATTCCTACAAGGCCTTTTGCGCTCCCCCCCCCCAGACAATTCAGAAATGTGCAATCAGATTACAATTGCACCATTCATATTTAAGAAAAAAGGAGTACTCCCAAATCCTGGTGACAGCCATTAAAATACCTCACAGCAATAGAAGAGGGAGAAAGGTGGAATTTTTAAAATAAGCATCATATGGCCACCCAACCCTTTGAAAACAACTCCCATCACCTTCTTATACTAGTCAAAACTGATGAGAGCTGTAGTCCAACAGCAGTTGGGTAGCCACACAATTTCCATCCCAGTCCTCACTAATGTGCCAAGAGGCCTGCTGGGTGAAAAATTTCCTTCCTGTGGGTGAAAAATCCTGGTTCTCTCAGCAGGCACTCTGAAGAGAAATTGGTTCATCAACATGGACACCTTCCTGCAATCCAAAGATCAGAATCCAGCAAGATCTCAGTCAAACTGGAGGGCCTCACAAGAGGCTTATGTCAGAATTCCTAGCAAGTCCATATAAAGGTATTCAAGGAAACCCTGTACAGGTTTTCAAGCACACTTCCAAATCGAAGAGATCCATTTTCACACTGAGGTTTAAAAGAGCATGCTTAAATTAGCTCCCTGGGCACAGGGAACATGTCCCAACAACACACAGCAGTGGCACATAACCCAGTCTCCTAAGGCCATTTTTCTTCCGGAGCCATTTCATATTCCCAGTCTTAACTTCACCAGTTAAGTTTGCACAACAAACCCTTGCGAAAATGACACTCTGCAAGAGTAAAGAAAGGCACCAAAATACAGGAATTTCACAAGCTAGTAGTAATGCAACACAAATATTGACCAAAAAACATAGAAAGAGGACAATATTCAGTAAGCCCACAAAGAGAGGGGCAACGTAAGATTTTTGTCCGTAGGCTAGTTTTGTCTGAAAAGCTACTTTGGAATTGAAAGCTACTAAATGCCAAGGAGGAAGGGGGGGAAACTGCTTAAACATTTTATATAACATAGGCTATTTTTCAGGAATCAAAACAAGAGAGATCTTTTACCTAAACTTATAACCTTGGTCAAAACAAATGGAAATGATATTCCATAAACATGGCAATTCTCCACCTTTGTTTAGAAAACAAAAGAAAGTTGACCTCTCAAAAGCACACATTTCCTGCTGCCATCAATATTTATATAAATGTTGCACTGTACAAGGAAGTGCTTTATAACCCTCAGGGTAGATTTCATTGACATCAAACTCTTTTAAATCATAATCTAATCAAAAATGCGTCTTTCAAGTGACTTCCCCCTTCAATGCACTCTTACTTGCTGTAAACCTAATATATATTTAAGCTCCTTGCCCAGATTGACTCCAGCTCCAGTAACTCTCTATTCACGGATACTTCCTGTGTCTGAAAACATATCTTCAGAGAGAGAGGTGAGCGCTTGACGTTCCTACACAAAGTTGCACAAGGGACAAGAGCCAGAGCCACTGTTCTAAAAGGAGTCAGTATCACTTTAGGAAACTATGGAAAGAAATCCCAGAAATTTTAATAGGGCTTCTGAATATTTTCAACATAATATCACGTCTAGAGGGAAACAAAAAACTCCAGAAATAACTTCAGAGTTGGAAAATAGGACTGATACAATCTGTTCGTTCTTTCTTTTTTGAAATACTGCTGTTACTGACTATACAACTTTGGAAACATAAATCCAATCTGGAAAATGGCAGATCTTTCTCTTATCTGCAAGATTTAGTATTGAGAGAGACAGAAAGATTAACTTAAATAATTCATACAGAATTTGGAGTTTCTCAAATGAAGACCCTCGTCAAATCACTGGTGCACTCTTACTTCCAAACCTTAAAAATATATAAACAAACACATTGCTTTATAATATAGAATTATAGTCCCTAGTGCATAATCTTTGAGCTATCACACATTTCGTACCATCACACAAAAAAGTATTTTAAGAATAGATTCGCATTTTTCAAAAGTGATTTTTTGTCTGTGTGTTTAATCATTTTTGCCATTAAAAGTACCATCACACAAAACATTTTCTTTAAAAAAGTATTTTAAGAATAACAGATTCGCATTTGTCAAAAGTGATTTTTTTTTGTCTGTGTGTTTAATCATTTTTGCTTTGCTACTCTGATGCCCAATTGTACTTCTGTCCTCAAAATAAAAGGGGAACATGCTCTGCATACACAAGGCCTTGAATTTTAATTTCTGGTATATCCAGGGCAATGAAGCAAATAGATTTTTAAAAAAACAACCTGGCTCAGATCTAAACACCAGCTGCCACTCAGAGCAGATCACATAAATCTAACCCTGTATAATACAACTTTCTATGTGACTACAGAACCTTACAAGGCGGGTCATGCCCAATCTGCAGCAAGCTAATTAATTTGGGCACATTCGAGTCCAGGCCATCCAGGAGCCATTTTAGCCTTTCTCCACTAGTACAAGGCCCAAACATATGCACTTCTCAAATGAGAAGACACAAGCTTATTTTTCTACCTGTATTTGTGGCAATACTGTACATATATCCACGTCGCTCACAAATTACAGTGTATACATTTCCCCCAACTGCCAGAGAGAAAAGAAGTCACACCTGACAGTGGCCCTAAGTGCCAGTACGGCGCTGTGGTGGTTAGAATGCCAGAGGAAGAGGTTGGGAGATCCGGGGTGAAGTCCATGCAGACATGACACTGACCAGATGAACACAGGTCAGTCACTCTCTCAGACCTACCTAAGAAGGTTGTTGTGATGATAAAAGTGGAAAGGAAGAGAGCCACATACACTGCATTGAGCTCACTGGAGAAAAAGTGGAATAGAAATACAGTGGGGTCTTGACTTGAGAACTTAATCCGTATTGGAAGGCGGGTCTCAAGTCAAAAAGTCTGTAAGTCAAGTCTCCATTGACCTACAGTGCATTGAGAACCGATTAATCCCGTAACAGGCTGTTTTTGTTCCATTTCGGTTTTTTTCTGGTCTGTAAGTCAATTCTCAGGCTGCAAGTCAAACCTAAATTTTGCGGCCAGAGAAGTCTGTAACTCAAAAAGTCAAGCCGTCTGTAAGTCAAGGGTCCACTGTAGTTCTATGGACAACAAACAATATGGAAGTGTGCTCGCTGCCACAATCTGATTCTCGAGTGTACAACTGTCCGTGGGATGTCATGTACAGAATCTACTCTTTGCAAAAAAATAAAAAAACAGTGTGTGCAATAGGCTCAGAATACATTCTTTAGTGAAACCATCCCCACTGATAAGAGAAAAATGTCTGAAGTACTTTATATGCAAGGATGTGAGCCCCTTCTTGATGTGTGGATGCTTTAATCACTTTCTTGAAAGGCTTTTTCCTCAGATTGGAGTAAACAACTTGGACACAACTCACTGTTGCGCTGCTTGCTCAGAGGTTGTTGGTTTTTTAATACACTGAGTTGTGTAAATATTTTTACCATCTTATTTTTGCAGCGTTCATTTTAATAAAATTTATACTATTTGTATGTCTATTTTGAGGCAACTGCCAGCAGCTTAACTCAACCTGAAACAGATTCAATACATTCAGGATTACTCTGGAACACAAATATAAAGGTGTAGGTTAAAGATAACTGACAGGCAATAACAAGAAAACGCACAAAAAATTCTTCCCATGGTTGAAAAATGTACACTGAGTGTAAGGCAAATAGCATTAAAATTCCATGAGGTATTTCTCTCCTACCTTCTTCTATTCACTTCTAAGATGAGACACAGGCTTTAACAATAGCCAAGCAGAAGAAAAGAAAAGCTGCAGCTTAGTCTCTGTCTACTATTATCCTAGCTCACAGCACCGGTTTACTTTCTTTAAAAAAAAAACCTTCTTTTTCTTGCTAAAGGAACATGCCCTCAGCCAAGGTCATGTAAAGTTTTGCTCAAGTTTAGATGAAACATGCCAAGAGGAGGGGGGGGCAAAAGCTTGTCTGAATTTGTTCCTTTCTTCCAGCACCTACTGGATTTTAAATCATTAAGCCACATACAAACAGGCAGAGGAATCCATGTGAGCAAAAAGAGAGAAAGGGGGGAGGGAAAGAAAAGCAGAAGTCCCTGTTTCCTGGCAGACATTTTGGCTCTTGTTTACATTTGCAGTCTGTGTGTTTCTCTTGTTGCAGAGCAATATGGCTGTCTGAAGAGCTGACAGCTTTGAATGCACAACCACTGTTGGCTGCAGGCTCATGTTCTCCTCCCAGTATCAAAGGTTGTGTAAAATTATGCAGATGCTGCACATATAAAACCGGGAGTTCCTCCTCCTGCTCCTCATATTTACATGGTTTTATGGCTTGAGGGTTGTTCAGAAAAGGTTTAGATCTGCCGTTTCGAAGGGCTTCCCAAGCTTTTGCCAAGAGGACTCAGGCAGGTTTGAGTTGCTCATAGAAGGAGTATCAAAGGTGTGAAAATGAAGATAAACACACTCCAGTGCAAATTCCATTTTCAGCCCACAGGGAAACAAAACAAAAATACTGGGAAGTACAGCATGAACCTGACACGTTTTGAGCTACTTACCATTTGGTGATGGTGGTGGGTGTTAGGAATGTTGGTCTCTTGAAAGAAAGCACTCAAAGCAGTCTGTGTTTAAAAGACAAACAGAACACAAGACGACTATTAGAAGAAGTGAAAAGCTGGAGGGCAGGAATGAAGAAAAACGATTTTACAGGAAGATTTATTTTTAAAATATCAAACAATCCTAAAGCCATACTTCAACTGTAATTAAATCATCAAAGTTAAGAAGCAGAACCCCTGGTATCTCCTTGAATTCTTCAGCACCCACCAGGACCACTTTTGAAATGCTAATTGTCTCCTCTTCCCCCCCTCCTGAAGTGGGGGGGTGAGGACTACAAACAAGAGAGGCAGGAGGACAATCCAAAGCAAACACAACTCCCACTGCCCTCAATCGCAACTGGACAACGCTGCTTTTGCACCCCATTTCCTCAAAGGCATGGGCCTAGCAGAAGATTCAGGAAAGTAGGAAGGGGAGAAAACCCCACTCTGCAATGTGTGCTTAAAACCAGGCCCCAAACATGGCTTTTCATTTGTGTGGCTTTTTTTTAAAGTAGGGAACATTATAAGTTGGCTTTCATTTGGGGACTTCATTTTGCTTTTATAAGTGGAAACACAACACTCCACACAAGTGAACAAAGGCACTTATCTCATGGGTTGCCAAGGGGTTCTCTGAAACCAACCTTTTCCTGATCAAGACTTGTTAAACAAAACAAAGGGCATACGCTACAGTGTGGCTGGTCGGAAAAGATTATTTTTAAATCATACTGTTTAAAACTACAAATTTACTACATCTTACTATATAAACGGTATCTTCTCTAGTATAAAATAACATAAACAAGAGATGAGAGATTGTTGTAGCAGGCCTAGTTCCGAAAGGGGCAGGGACTGGGGGGGGGGGGGGGGGAAATTACAAAATCTTCGTGCTTCATTCTGTGGTCTGGTGCCCCACTCAAGAAAGCAGCAGGGAGAGAAAAGAAAAGCAGACAAACCGCCGGTATATACAGTATATACCACAGAATGAAGCACGAAGGAGATTTTTGTAATTCCCCCCCCCATATATATATATATACAGTATTTTGTATATATCTCTCTAATCACCGCATGGCCTACTGGACGTTTCAAGTATGCTTCCCTGTAAGTCGAGGAAAATATTTCACTTTATCTTGGTGTGTTTTTTTTTAACAACACGGCTTATTCAAAGTGCTTCTCCAAATCCGCCCCTCCTTCCGGCATGTTGGCTGCCATGCATACCGTTCTCCGTCGGCCCGGCGATTTCAGGAATACAAATGTTGTCCCTCTTCCCCCCTTTTCCCACGACCACCAAGCAACAAGAGATTAGTCAACACGCAAAGGCCCAACACATTCCCCAGCTCCGGAAGGCACTTCTTGCAAAGGAAGGGAATTCTGGCCAAGACCTTTAATGGATTGTTTATATGGCTCGGGAGAGCAGAAATGCTCTGCGCGCGCCCCCCACCCCCACCCCCTTGTTATAAAACGCGAGGTCGGGGTTGGGGGGAGGGGACAGTATTGTTTACACTACTGCAAGCCCAAGGTTGCTCCCACTTCTATCACTCCTTCTGGGTTCACACAAGGGAAAGGGGGAAATGGGATCGCAATTATTTTCGCCCCCCCCGTTTCGTCTTCTTTTCTTCCAAAGGGGCATCAAAAGGGGGGAGGGTCGAGAGGGTCGCCACGCACCTCGAACTGCCAGTGTGCCGCTTGCAGCAACTGCTTCGCTTGATCCGCCGCACAGCCCGCAGTCAGCACGAACTGGTTGATCATGACCTGATGCCGGAGCTCCTCCATATTCACCGACATGGCGAAAGAAACGAAACCACAACACGGAAGGAGGGCGGAGGGGGGACAGCCAAACACGCACACACACACACACTGGCGCCTGTACGTGTTTCGGGGAGGGGGAACAGCGACAAAAGGCTCCTTCTTCTCTTCCTTCCTTCTTTTCCTTTCCACCCCAAACAACGAACGGCTTCTCCCTTGCGAGGCTCCAGCCCAGTCGCCGCCGCCGCCGCCACCCCCCGGCTTCCCCTCTTGGCTTCAATCGGGACAAACAACAGCATCCAGGGGAGGAGCATGTGGAGAGAGAGAGACGCGGGGGTGGGCGCGGGGGGAAGCCGGAGGTGTCTCAACGTTCAAGACCACGCTCGCCAAGGCCGCTGATTGGCCGCCGCCGCGTTCGCTGCATGTATGAACGTTCGGTTCGAATTTTCCAGGCGAGGGATGTTTCTCTTTCTTTCTCCCACCCCCTTCAGGCCCGTCGCTTGGACTCCATTGGAGAGGGAGGGGGCGAAATGCCGTCGGGCTCCTTGATGATTGGTCAGTTGCTCTGTTTTGGCTGAGAAGGAGGCTCCGATTGGTCTCTTTTTCCTCGTACGGGAGGAGTAAAACTACGCTCCGGTTTGAACTGAACTGGAAATTCTACTCCCTTTGTCGATTGGCTGCGGCGCTCCCCCTCCCGTCGTTTTTTCCACTGTTGTAAAAAAAAAAAAAAAAAAAAACAGGAGGAGGAGGAGGGGAAAGAAGTGTAGTTTGTAAGAGCCAAGTTCATTGACGAGCAACCAGCATGCTGAGATGGAAAAAACGAGAGCACCGCAGTGATTCATTTCCCTTTTTTTTTAAAAGGCTGGTCATCCTGCAAACTGAAGTTACCACACAATAGAAAGAGCTTAATAACTACTGTATATCGGAAACAACATCTCTTCGAACTTCCGGGTGGTTATTGCTCAGAGGGAATGGAGCTCAGAAATGCTTTCTTGTAATCTACTAGTTTTTAAGGGGCAGCAACTTTTGCCTTTCTCTGTCTCTCTTTCCCGCCTCCTCTTTAATTCCCTCCATCTTGTAATTACATTTTATTAATTCTTGATGAAGCTGTTGGTGGAAATAGCAATTTCCTCTTGGAAAAAGTATGGCCTCACAGTAATATGGAATATACCTTTTTTTCTTATCTTTTCTGGAACGTTGAGTGAAAAGGTCTCTGGGGGGGGGCAACTGTTCTCCTCTGATGACTTCTAGCTATATACTCATGTGCTGAGTAGAACTAAGGGCAGGGCAATGTGGCAGAAGGTGAGGTGTCAGAAAGGCAGCAAATTGCTGATTTTGTAGCACGAAAGAAAAGGCTCCCTTTAAATATTTTGGCTCTCACACATCATCTCAGCTTCTGCGGTTCCAAGGCCAGTGCAGATGTCACTACTTCTAAAGAGAATTCCTTTTGTACATTGTATTTATGGAGAACATCTGCAGAGAACACCACACACTAAGAGCATTCTAAGAATCAATCTGTTCTGGGCAGGATTCTTAAACAATCTGGTGGATTCCTGCTGGTTTCAGAGTCATTTTGTCTATATTCCTACCTATGGTTAGATCATCTTTGCTGTATTCCTGTGTCTTAAATTCATTTTGACTCTCCTTGGGTGCGAATTGTAATGAGCAATAACACAAAAGCATTTGGCTAGACTGGAATACTGTAGGTCCATTTAGGTCAGTTGTGGGTGTCCATTGCAACCTGCCAGGTCCTAGTGAGTTTGCATTTTGCAAACAGCAATACACCAGAATGATTTTTTTGAGGGAGCATTTGTTTCCACAAAACCACTAGGATATGTCTTGTTTTATTCTGTTGTCCAGTAGCACATCATTGTTCATATCATCTGCTGTCTTCACGGCTGTTCACCCCATCTGAAGAAACTGGGAGCTCTTCACTATCTATGATTTCAAATTTCTAAATCACTTCAGACCATCTAATTACTGGTTTCCACACCTCTCAGCTCCCAATCCTGATTGAATCCGGTGTACTTTAAAGAGAAATAGGATGCATGCTATAGCTATTTCAGGTTTTATATTCATTTGACAGATTTATGCTAAAGCCCATTTAAGCTACTGGGAGGGAAAATATGCCCATATAATGTTTGTTTGTTTATTTGATTTATGTGAAAGATGAATCGTATAAGCACTACGCAAGATTAAAGCACACAAACCCTCAGTACTCTACAATTCCAGAAAATACATTTTAAAATAATACAGTGATACAACACTTATATTATTATTATCTTTATCTTAAAACTGCAGAGCTAGAAGCAACTCTATGGATCGAATCTAGGCTCTATCAAGGAAGCACAATGGGGAATCGAAGTCCCAGCTTCTGGCTCCACAGCCAGGTACCTAAACCAGCAGTTCATTATAACCAGCTCCTGCATTGACATCAGTCAACATGCAATGGCAGCAAGAATGTTACAGTTATGTCAGACAATACAGTATAGTACATATACAAACCTCAGTACTGGAAGGGAACAATCATTTTGCAAAGGCAAGGGAAGAAACTTGTGTGGAAAACGAAAAATGGATGGTGTAGCACAGAAATGGGCAACTTGCATCCCTCAAGATGCTGTGGAACCGCAATACCTAGAGGTGAAGGATGATGGGAGGTGCAGTCCAGAGACGTCTGGAGGACCACAAGCTGTCTGCCACAGGCATTAACAGAAAAGAGATAGCACACCCTAAGATGAATAGCAAGAACACCACAACTAATCTTATACTGAGCAGTGAACATAACATTCAAGATTTCAGTCCTATAAACATTATTTCAGGGCTGTCCCGTGATTTATTAATTTTGTTGCAGCTTTGGATCAATCATACTGCTTACGGTGCTAATGTATGAGGGATCCCTCTGTTCTTTCTTTCTTTGGGTAGAAGCTTTTTTGGTTTTGTGACCACCTAAACCACTGACCTATCCAGCAGTTCATTGTAACCATAAATATGAATAACCCTACTAAAAAATCTAGAATTGATTTTTAAAAATTGTTATTGAGAATATCCTGGAAATTCAGTTATGACTGTTTATATCAGACTGGATTACTAAAACGCTGATGCAGTACAGTATTTTCAAGGCCCCAAATTGATAGTCATAAACAGGTCCATTCTGGCCACAACAAGTTCTCATCATCCTTATTTATCAGGGCATGCTTGGATAACTGTTCCTTTTAAGGTGCTGAAGCACAGTGTTTTACAGCCTTATTGTAGGCATACTTGTCCAGCAAGAAATCCCACCATCGTAGTTAACAACTCAATCCAGCAAGGCCCGCCAGGTCCCAGCAATACAGTACCATCTTTTGGCCACAGAATTAAGGCCTTCTTACACTTCCAGGCATTTATCCTATTGGAGACCATCAGATCAGCCAATTGTTGAATACAGGCATTATGCTAATTACAGTACCTCTGTAGACGTGTTATTCCGGGGAAGATTGTGTAATTGTGATATACTGCAGTTATGTTATTTGTGTTGCTTTTGTTTTAATGTTCATAGATTTTGATTGTTGCAAGACATGTTAAGTCTTTTGAAGGCAAAGCTGCCTGTGAAATTCAATAACCTGTAACCATAAACCAATGTTCCTCTTTGAATAATCAATATTACTTACCATTTTTTCAGAGTGATTTCTCCAGCCACGGTATGGAACTCACTTATCTCTGATTCATTTACTTAGCAGTTTAATTCAACCTGATACCCAGACCCTACTAATAATGGAGCCATCCAAACTCTCACTGCACGTCTCTTTTGAATTGCACAGATCTCAACAATGGTTATCCATGGCTTTTTTCAATAAATGAATAAATATTGAAATAAATAAATATTCAGTATATAACGTGCTATGATTTGTTTCCCAGAAGTGGTCATGGACTTACCTATGCCCCTCTTGTTGGCAGTGCAGTGGTCTCTGGTCAGGTGGTGGTGGTGACTCAGCAAGCCCTCTCTCGCGGCATGGCAGCTAAACAGGGTCATGTTGGGAGGCTGATGTGGGTCAGGGGAGGGGTGTGTGTGTGTGTGTGTGTGTGTGTGTGTGTGTGTGTGTGAATCAACTGATTGTGCTTTGTAGTTATATTTTGGTGTGGGGGTGTAAGAGTTACGCAGATTTTGAACTACACAGTGTTCCAGCACCCCTAACCTCATTATTTTTTAAGGTAGAAGTGTATATATCGCAACCTGTCTTCCAGCCACTCTGTATAGAATAGTTACAAGTGGTGCCTCGCTTAACGGGCGCCTCGTTTAATGACAAATCCACATAGCGATGAATTTTTTGTGATCGCATTGCATTTTTGCGATTGCATTGCGACAGTTTAGATAGGAAAATATTGCTTTGCGATGATTGGTACCCTGTTTCGCATACCAATCATCGCATAGCGAAGATTTTCCAACAGCTGATTGGCGGTTCCAAAATGGCCACCGGGTAAATAAAATGGCCGCCCGCTGTGTTTTTGCCTGGATTCCTCGCTTACCGGGCAGCGAAAATGGCTGCTGTGTGGAGGATTTTCGCTTAAAGGTGAGTTTTTTGCCCATAGGAACGCATTAAACAGGTTTTAATGCATTCCTATGGGCTTTTTATTTCCGCATAGCGACGAAATTGCTTTGCAGCGATTTTTGTGGCATGGATTATCGTCGCTATGTGGGCCACCACTTGTATTTTGAAAACCTCAAAGGCTTGTGTTGTCTTCTTGCATTTCATTTGGTCCTGATAAAAGTACTGTATTGCCAGTTTTGCACATACAGTATGTAGCATTATTGTGAGTTACACAGATTTTGAACTATACAGTGTTCTAGCACCCCTAACCTCATCATTTTTAAGGTAGAAGTGTATATATTGAAACCTGTCTTTCAGCCACACTGTATGGAATAGTTATCTTGAAAACCTCAAAGGCTTGTGTCCTCTTCTTGCATTTCATTTGGTCCTGATTAAGTACTGTATTGCCCAATTTTGCACATACAGTATGTAGCATTATTGTTGTATTCTTTGTTGCTTTGAGCGCCATAGAGAAAGATGGGTTATAAGTCAAAGCAATGATCTAATGAGCAAACAGACAAGAGTTATACACTGGCTTTTCTACAAAAAAGGACCAGAGCATCTGGCTACACTCATCCCAGCCCTGATCCAGCCCCTGATCTAGGGTGGGTGGGTGTGAGGTAGCTTTGCATTTTATTTTTGCATTTATAGCCCCTCCATTTACCTGAGAAGCCTTTGGATTATCCTTTGAAATGCACAAGTT